CTGATTATTTTTATTTTAGTTGTTTATCAGTATGATACAACACAGCCTGAGGGGTTCTGAGCTAATTAATCTTACTTATAAACCTTATGTAACATCAGAAGACTAATGATATTGTTGAATGCAATTATTTGAAAAAGTTATTGGAGGGACTTCAGTATTTTTGTTTGTTTTTAAAAGGGAGCCGGGCCTCTGAGTGGGTAAGACGTGACCTGGATTTCTGCTGTAGCTTTCACAAAACACAATGAGAAGTTACTCTGGTTTAGTGAGCACTACTTAGTCTGAGTTGAATACAAGGAATACAGGTAAAAATCTAGGTAGAGCTATTGAAAAATCAAATACCTGTTGAAAGTATTTTTGAATGTGATATTTTAAAGGTATTTTAAATACCCATCCTAAATGAAATGCTGATGATTGACCAACTGGAAGCTAATAATTTCTTCACAGCTTTTCATAAAACTTTATAAATAAACTGATTACAAATGTTATTTACCCTTTTAAGTCTACAGAGGTAAATAGCTACCCTTGGACCTAAGAAATCTTCATAGTCTTCATGCAGAACTTTTGAATATAGGGTCTTAAATGCTTTTAAGAAGGAATTGTTATGGTATGAAACAGGGAAATTACAATCAGCTGAATTTACTAAAGATTTTAGAATAAAAGGTACTATACAGTTCTTTTCTCATATCTTTGAATTTATAAGTAGTTTAAGTAGTAAATACAAGCTTGCGGTAGCAGAACAGGGTGAGGAGATTTTCAGGATTCTAAAACTACAGAAAGTTAGAAATATCCACAAATTCAAACATGATTCTGATTCCATGAAATGGCCACTGAATACACCAAATGTAAAATTACATACAGATGAATTTTAAGTATTAGCAATACTTTACTTCCTTGTTCTGATTTCCAAAATTTTAACCACTGTAATTAGTGAAAATGATCTTTCTATAACAACAAAAATAACAGCTCAGCTTATTTTTACACATCCTATGTAAGTATTACCAAAAGCATGAACACTTGAGCAAATATTGATGGTGGTTGCCACAAAGTTTGGCTGCTTTGTTTTGTATTTTAACACTTTGGCAAACATTGATTTGTATTGGATATAATAAAATTAGTAGATATTTTCTTAAAATTTGTAGCAGGTGGAATTTCTAACTTGTTGTAACCTGCCAATTAGATGATTACTGGAAAAAGTCATATTGGACATTGGAGAGATATAATGAGTTCCCTCATTAAATACCAACAGGCTGGTTTTCATAAGTCTTCTAATTTCGTTAGGTTCCTATATTTTTTCCCTGTCCATTAACTATAATCCTAATAATCACATAACCACTCATAGCAGCCTGTCTTTCTTAATTTACCTTTCACTACTGTACACACTCCCCTGGCATCCGTAACCTTCCTTAGTTTGTCAAACCTGTCAGCCCAATGTAGAGCAAAAAATTAATAGTGAAGAGGGAAGGCAACAGTGTTCCAGAGAGAAACTAAACACTATTAAGCAAGCAGCAACAAGTTCTGAATTTAGATAGGTAAATTTAGGACTCTGCAGATTTCTAGGATTGCTCAAAAATTCTGGCTGCAAAGTTGTGTTGCCAGTAATGAAATGGACAAGGAAGCGGAATTAGGGCATGAAGATTTATGAGAGCACAGTCTTTGAAAAGTGCAAAAGAAAACATATGGGAACTGATGAAATCCTACTAAATGCAGAACAAAGGAATTGACACAACAGATAAAGGGTGATGAAGGGGCCTTTCCCCTAATATGGTGACTGACATTGTTCGTCTACTAAAATATTTCCTTTCTGAATAGAAATTCACATAAATGATAATTGGAGTCATAGCAAGAAGTCAAAAAGAAAAATATGAGGAATTTCAAACCGTAACACAGGCAGTGGACTTCTCAAGGTCAAATGGCAGGCAGATGGAAAAGTGACTGGAAGAAGGTGGGAACTTTGAGGAGTATTATAGAGAGAAGAAAAACCTTAAAGAAGCACTGATCTTTATAATGAGCAGCAGATGTTTTGCCTTTGATAGAGAAGCAGGTGGTGGATTACAGGTGATCAATAGCCATAGTACTCCAAATTGCAACAGCATAAAGAGGTGAAAAGGAGTTAAGTTGCAGGACAAGAAAGAGCTCTATATTAAGACAATAAGGTCTGGATAATAACCCGTCTGGATGTGATCCTGGGCAATATGCTCTAGGTGATCCTGCTTGAACAGGGAGGTTGGACTAGATGATCTCCAGAGGTCCCATCCAACCTAAACGATTCTGTGAAGGTCATATATCTGTGATGTGAATTAAAAGACTAGTTGTTGTGGTGTCTTCTGGCTACTACAGTACACAGAGGTTCCAGATATCCTTGAGAGTGCATGAAATTCAGCCAGTAGATGGAAAATAGGAAAATCCGGTAAGTGTGAAATTAATCTTTCTTGAAGAAGAGAATGCTGAAATGAAATTCAAGAAAGGCAAGTGCAGGGTCCTGCACCTAGGTAGGAATAACCCCAGGCACCAGGACAGCGTGGGGGCTGACCTGCTGGAAAGCAGCTCTGCAGAGAAGGACCTGGGAGTGCTGGTGGACAACAAGTTGACCATGAGCCAGCAATGTGCCCTGGTGGCCAAGAAGGCCAACGGGATCCTGGGCTGTATTAGGCAGAGTGTTGCCAACAGGTCAAGGGAGGTGATCCTGCCCCTCTCCTCAGCCCTGGTGAGGCCTCTCCTGGAGTACTGTGTCCAGTTCTGGGCTCCCCAGTACAAGAGAGACATGGCACTCCTGGAGAGAGTCCAGTGGAGGGCTACAAAAATGATTAGAGGACTGGAGCATCTCTCTTATACAAATATCTGAAGGGAGGGTGTCAAGAGCATGGGGCACAGGATAAGAGGCAGGATAAGAGGCAACGGGCACAAACTGAAACACAGGAAGTTGCAACTGAACAAGAGGAAAAACTTCTTCACTCTGAGGATGGACTGAGCACTGGAACAGGTTGCCCAGAGAGGTTGTGGAGTCTCCTTTCCTGGAGATATTCAAAACCCACCTGGATGCAATCCTGGGCAATGTGCTCTAGATGGCTCTACTTGAGCAGAGGGGTTGGAGTAGATGATCTCCAGCGATCCCTTCTAACCTCAGTCATTCTGTGATTCTATGATTCTTAGACTTTTTAAATGCTAAACATTAATATAAAAAATAGAAGAGCAATATTAAAGACTATACAGCATATGTGCCACGGTGCGCAAAAGAGAGGCTTCATGATTGTTTGCAATAGTGAAGGATTATAGAGACCTCGAATTTAGTGATTTGAACACCAGGAAAGAAGAAATACTGATGTCTGCTTTTAAAGTCCAGCACACAGGCACCACATCATACACTTTAAGCTAGTGAGAAGGGAAAGGGGAGGAAAGGAGAAAAAAAAAAAGGGGGGGGGGGGGGGGAAGAGACCTTAAATACTGCATGTGGTGCAATGTTCCAGCACATGAGGATGAGCTGATGTGAAATATAAGTAGTAATACTTAGAAGTATATTAGTATATTTGCATTAATGCAAGAAAAATTAGATATAAAATATCAGAGATCACTCGCTGGTGATTCTGGTAAAATTCTTAAAACCTGCTCTTACATGAAAGGAAAAAGCTTAGCAGTCTTTCAGTATGATGAAGTCTGATACTGATAGTATCAGCATTTACAGTACTGCCACATTACATGTTTGATGAGAAGGGACAATTGTTGTAGTTCTGTAAATAAGGGCACACAACACTTAACAAAAAAAAAAAAAAAAAAAAAATCTAGCTGAGGAACTGTTATAGTCTCCTGATTGCAGGAGACTAACTAAAGCAAGTATTTCTAAGACCATCTCACAATGTCAGAAAACACTGCGCTTACCTAACTCTCCAAGTATTTATTGTGGAAAATATAGCTCTACAACAGGTTATTAAGCAGGCTTTGAAGTTCTAATCTAGATTAGTGTTTCTTTTCCTAAGGAGTTACTCAGTTTATTTCTATTTTCTAGGATGCCATCTCTTCTCCCTGTCTTTTAACAAACTAATCCGCAGTCATCTTACAAGGGCTGTGATGCAGCTTCTGTGCATCTGCACTTTCTGCCTGTTCAAATGTCCAGCCAGGAGCCATGATCACAAAGCTGCTGCATGTGCTGGAAGAAGCCAAGTGAACAGTTGCAGTGGCTAGATGAAAACTTTCTCTGCAAGTGAAAGCTTTCTCTTATAAGAGGGATATAATTTGCAAGCAAATGAAAGAAAGTGTTGGATATCCACTCAAACATGTCTTCTACGCTTTGACAATGAACACCAAGAAAACAGCAAACATTTCAACTCTTCTCCAAAGCACATGACAGGCCCATGTGCCAAGGACCAAACAGAGCCTGAAGATCAGACTGCAGAGATGCACGTATTAATTGCGCACAATTAAAAATGGATTTAAAATACAGTTTCTACACAACGAATGTGGAAGTTGTGATAGGCTTTGAGAAGGTGACATGCTTTTTAAATGATAGCACCAAATACTTTGTCTATGATAAGAAAGATTTGCCTCTAAACAATAGATACAGAGATGAAATACTTTGGGAAACTAAAGACTGAATAAAATGTCTTTAAAGTGCATCTATGAAACACATCTGTAAAATATATATACACATTAATGTAATGACTAATTGCAGTACTCTACAGTAAAATTACAATTTTTCCTTTAAAACTGATGATCTCTCATTCGGTTTTCTCTGATTCTTTTCATCATTACCTACATATTTTCAGTAAGTAGCAGCCATTTGGGTTCCCCCCCCACCACCACATCTTATATATTACTTTTCTCCCATAGGATGGACGCTGGGAGCAAGGCGTCTTCAGTTGCCACGTCCTGGTTGCTGCATGCTCTGTTGCATACAGCTTTATAGAAGAAGGGGGAAATTTTTACATGTGGAAGCAAATAAAAATATTCAGGGGACAATGTTTCAGAGTGCAAGGTAAAGTAGGCAAAAAGCATGTAATAAGAGGTACCTCTGCAGAGCATCTGGGAAATCGCCGATCAGTTAATAAATCTGCTTTCAGGGTGACAGAGAGACCATGTAGAGTCAGTTTGTTACAGTCCTAGAAGATCGTAAAAAGGAAAGGCTGTTGGATTGACAGCAAGCCTAAGCAAGAGGTCCTGCTCGTCAAGGACATGGCTGGCAGAGGAAGACAGATTTCTTTCCAATTCCTCCTCCCCACCCCCACTGTTTCTTTCCCCCTTCCTTCCCCTATTCCCATGCTAGTTTTTCTCTGTTTTTAAAATAGATCCTTGTTCCGGTTAAAGTTCTAACAAAAACAGCTTTATAAAAGCCCTTTTGGTCTTGTTGGAAAGCTCACATACAGGCAGGACAGCCTCAAAGCTCTGGAGTCTTGTGCAAGTACTTTGCTGTTTATTCAATCACTAGTTGACACCACTAAAAACATAAGTTATTATTCTTTGTTGAATGCACTCATGAGTTGGACTTCTTATCTATATTTCTCATTCCAAATTATATTACTCACTCGGAGCAGAACTACACTGGGAGGATGCCAGATAACATTTTCAAGATGTCAAAAGTTGGCAGTGTCATGTCCATATAATGCAAGACAGTTCTCACGCTCCATTTTCCCTGACATATTCCTTAGATGCAATTATTCCACTGGATGCCTCTATTTGCACAAGAGGAGAGAGTTAGTTGTGGGCCAGCCAAACTCTAACAAGTGCAAAGCTAACATCCTTTCTGGATCAGTCGGCAATGGTGTCAGTGTGAGCCTGATCCCCTCTCTTCCCCCTTAGGTACTGCATACTCCGTGGGATGGAAGTCGGATAGTGCAAGGAAAGGGCTTAAGCCAAAGCTGGCTGGTGATGATTGGAGGCGGTTTTCTGCCTGAGGTACCCTCCAGAAAGAGGGTTCTCTCTCTCTCTATATCTCCTCCCTCACTTTTCCCTTGTCACCAGACCCACAGCTGTCATCAGTCATTCAGCCTTGATGAGCAGCCACTGTGAGTGCTGAGGGCAGTACAAGCTGCAAACAGGTACCTAGGTAAATGTATGCCCTATAATTTTGCTTAGCCCCACCTGCATATGTTCCTTTCCCCACTCCCCACATACAGAAAGCAAAAGCATTTGTTCAGTGCAGTCTTTTCATGAGATGAGCATTGCAAGTGCCGCTGTTTACTGTGCAATGTGCCTTCCCTGCCGCGATTCATGAGGCTGAGAGCAATGTGTATTTGGAACACAGCATAAGATTTTAATAAGCGACATAACATTGTCCTAGAATTCAACTAGATATAATTTAATTTTTTACGTCACAGTCTGAACAATCTTTCAGAGTTAGTTGTATCTTGGATTTAGCTTGATGCTCTTTACACAAATATGTCCAGTATATCTTCTGCTATAGTATACATGGACAAATACTATTTCGTTTGCATCCTATACTATGTTTTGGTAACAAGTAAACAATATAATGAATCAAATTAATGGGGGGAGTGGGAGCACTTATTGTTACATAGTCTCTGTGTAGAAGCTTGGTTCTAGACGGCTCCTGTAGTTTAGAGCTGATTCAATTAACATGATATTTTTCACCAGATGAGAGCCTTCCACTGCTTCTGGACATACATACTGCAGCTGTGATTGCAAACAGTTTAATTTAGAAAATGTATCAATTTTGCCTACCATATTATCTGAGAATTAGAACTAACACAAAATATTCACAATAACTGAAAATCAAAAATAATGAAAACATTACGAAGCTGACAATAAAAAAAGTTTAAGAACATCTGAGAAATGTTTAAATTTGTCACTACCTACCATATATATTTTTCAGCCAGAAGGGACTCACAGACTGTTGATATTGTAAAGATTAGCTAGTTTAGCAACTATGTTTGTCAGAATTATGTAACCTAAGTTTAAAAAAATATAGCTTTCTGAATGATAAATTTTAGGTTTGGTTTGTTCATTAAATATGTAAATCCCTTAATATGACTATACCTTTAATTTACTTGAGTTGAAACTACCTTTTTCCTTAGCATGGCTTGAAAACGTGAAGGTAAGGATGTTAAACTATCCCTAAGGGAATGAAATTCAAGCAAAAGGTAGTGTGACAAGTTTTGTGCAGATATTTAGAAGTTTGGGTCAGTCTTTCTATAAAGCAGAAAAGCTGAGATGCCTGCTGTACCCTGATGTAGTGTTTGATGAAGCACAAAGGCAGAGTCCCAGATGGAGTATTACTGCCTTATATATGCAAAAATTTAAAGTTTTAGTGTACCCTTTCCATCTGTTACTCCTCTAACTTGTATGCTGTTGTCAGCAGCCGCATCCTTTTCTCAGATTACACAATTACATTGTCAGAAAGTTCACTGGCAAAGGGTGTACAGAAAAAGAAACTAGATCTTCAAGGCCTGACTCTGCAAGTCTCCGGTTCCAGCCACAGAAGCAATAAGCAGTTGCCTTACTTAAGTATTTTGAAGCTTTACTCATTGTATTCAGTCTAGACCTCACCTTAACACCAAGGCAAAAGCACTATGCACGTACAAGCACAGCATAACTTTTATACCCATTATTTCCCTATAAAAATATTGTGAGAGGTAGTCCGGATTCACTTGCAAGGATACGAGTTGTAATCCACTGGCATATGCCTGTGAGGACTTAAAACTTGTGAGTGTGGCCACAACCACAGCCTCCCTCCCTTCCCTGCCCTACGCGAAACCTTCTTTGCTTTTACCTCTCTTCCTCAGAAATAAAAGACCACAAGCAAGTATCTCCCAAACAAAAGGAAAATATTATTTTCTACCTTTCATTCTTTTGCAGAGTTCCTTAAGGAGAAACAGGAAGCTCTCCACTAAGTGGAGCAGCTTAGTCAGGGAGCCAGATCTATAGGTTTCCAAACCCTGAAGATCCTTCAGTCTTCATATAGTCAATATTACAGTGCCATGCACACTGGAAAATAATTCTCCCTCTGCAATGTGGTAGTCCTAAAATGTAGAAACCATGAACATACACAAAATCCTGAAATATCATCCATCAGATGAATTTACTCAGAATCACTTGCCTTGCCAGTCTCAGGCTATTTCTTTAGGAAAATCATCTAACAGCTGATACCCCCTCCTCATCTCCCCCCATCCCCATTTTAAAGGAATTGAAATGAAATTTTAAATTGATGAATTCAAATGCATTATGTTCAAAGATCATGAATGAATGGATACCACATAGTTATAGTGGCAAGCATTCTAGTCAGAGATTACACTTTTATAAATATAACCTGAACAATAAATAGTTGTTTTCAGGCGTTCTCTCCGCTTCAGAATTGTGAGATGAGTTCTTCTTTAAGAAGCCTGTCAAGTATTAATTAATGAGCCTTTAATATCCAAAACCCTTTAATATCTTTTTTTTGAGAACTCTAGCACAACTGTGCAGAGTTCACACTCAAAAAGTTCACTTCAGCTGAACTTCCTAAGATTGACAGACCTCAGAGGCTGAACGGACAATCTGATCTTGTACTCCGATCACTTACCAAAGGTCATTACATGTCACCCAGTTGCCCCTGAACTGAGTTCAGTAACTTGTACTGCAGCTAAAGCATATCTTCCAGGGTGGAATCTAATTTTTATCTGAAAAGAAGGATAATTTAATAATTCCCTTCAAAAAGGAATGAGAACTTGGTGGGTGAATAGTACCAATTTGAAGCTTCTTGAATGTATTGCCAGCCAACAGCGGGTCAGAGACCTATATGAAGTACAATAATGATCTCAA